AAGAGATCCGTCTGCGTGCGATCTCCCGTGCTCGTTCTCGTTCTCTCCCTGTGGCTTGGGGTCGGCTGCGACCAACTCACAAGTCAAGGCAAGAAGAAGAAGTGAAGCAGCAGAGCGAGGGAAAGCGTTGTGTGGCGCCTTCGAGCTTGGCTTGTTGGTTTCTTGGCTTCTTCTGATGTGAGTTTGGCGTTTGTTGCGAGTTTTTCTTTTCGTCAGCAGCAGGACAACGACTGCGGTTGCAAGCACGATTGTTGATGGATGGTGTTCACAAATTTTCTTGTTTGCCACCGCCGCGAAAATTTCAAACGGAGAGGAGAAGACGATGGAGGCGCTGTTGGAGGTGTTTGCTTGCCGCGTTCGCGAGCTCAAGCAGGGGCTGGTGTTCCTGCAGGAGGAGGAGGGGGAGGGGAAGGAAGGGGATGTGGACCTGCAGCAGGAAAGGAGTGGAGACAAGAAGACGAAGAAGGCCAGCAAGAGGCGCAAAGGCGAGCAGCTGCTCGGCGCCTTGTGGGAGCTGGACAAGTCCCTCACAGAACTGGAAGGCAGGGTGAGTTGCCGCTGAGGCTGCTGGTGCTGGTTGTTGTGAGCAAAGGAGGTGCGGAGGTTGACGTGCAAGGCGCTGATTGTGATGGTCATATGTCCACGCAGGATCGTGCTTGTGCGTATATTTGTGTGTGTGTGTGTGTATGCATCTGGTTGCATACATACAGGATTGTAGTATGAGTTGCTGCATCGTTGTTTGTTTCTGTACGTGTGTGTGTTGTGTAGATTGCAGCTGGATGTGTCTTGCCCCTGTGTGCGCCCTGCTTGGACGTGTGGGTGTGGGTGTGTGAGTGCGCGCGTGCAGCTGACATGATATGCTCTCGGGTGCTTGTGATGCAATCGGTTTGCAGATGGATTTTGTCGAGTCCAAACTCGATGAGGAAGAGACGGAGATGGAGCAAGTGCGTGAGTACGTGACTGCACTGCAGTACCAGAACGAGCGCGCACACGATGCCCTCGAGAATCTTCCAAAAGGCGTGCCAAACCCTCCCAGCAAAACGAAGAGCAAGGAGAGCGCCAAGGTGAACAACGCGCGCGTGCTCCAGCCAACACATCAGAACCACAGCGCACAACAGAAGCAGCAGCAGCGCAAGCCCGCCAGCAGCAGACAGCCACTCGCGCCCATCACCAAGACAGAGTTTGAAACACTCAACCCTGCCATCCGCAAGAGGTGTGTGTGTGTGCTTGTGTGTGTGTGTTTGTTCGTTTGTGGTTGTGTGTGATTGTGTGTGTGTGTGTTTGCACAACATTGCTACAGCACTTGTTTCACAAATCACACCAGGCAGTAGCACTCACTCACTCACATACTCACACATACACACACACACACACATGTCCGTGTTGAAGACTGAGCCTCGACCGCATGAACGAAGTCGTGGAGGGCATCAAAGCTACCATGTCGGCCACTCACAAGGGAAAGAAGGTGAGCCGTTGCGGCCTTGTGGCTGGCGTCGTGCTGTGCTGTGTTGGCAGCTCTCTCTGCAAAATGCACAACTTGCACATCGAAGTGCACAAGACAAACACGCAGGCAGACAGGCAGGCAGACACTCACGCACACACACGCACACACAGTGAACAGTGAACAGCACATTCACACAACACAACACATATTCACATGCATCTTCCTTGCGTGGTATTGACGGCAGTCCAACTACAAAGGGTTCACGCGCACGGATTTCGTCATGCATTCCGGTGTTGCCGCGCGCGACCTGGCACGATACATGGGCGCTCTCAAGTCTCTTGATCGCATCACAGAAACACACGCAAGCGGCAGCACAACATACCTACCAACATTTGCTTGAAGCGCACGCACGCGTGTGTGTGCGTGTGTGTGCGTGTGTGTGCGTGTGTATGCATATGTGTATGTGAAGCTGTGATGTTGTCGTGTTGCCCGCCTCAGCGCTGAGTATCTTCTTGCCGCATGCGCACGTCTGCGCTCTTGTGCTGGTGTGCCGTGTGGCTGTGGTTGTAGTGGTGGTGTTGTTGTTGCTTGTGGTCGTCGTCGTCGTCGTCGTTGTCGTTGTCGTCGTCGTCGTTGCTGTTGCTTTCTTTGTTCTCGGGATGTACCCGCTGTAGTGATGGATGGGAACGGAGGGAGTGGATGTGAGCTTTTGTAAGTGAACCCCAGAAAATGGCCGTGCGTTGACCATCGGCGCTGCTGCTTGGCTGTCAGTACTCTGCATGTGTATGTATGTGTGTGCCAGTGCGCGTGTCCGTGTGCGTGTGTGTGTGTCAGTGTGTGTGCGTGTGTGTGTGTGTGTGTGTGTGTTGCAGTGCTGCTGTCACGCCATGTACACGCGTCGCATTCACGTAACCCAATACAATGCGATCGACTTTGTGCTTGGCGCCAGTGACGGTGCATCGAGCAAAGACTTTGGCGGAGCCAGTTATGTATTCATTCGTGCAGTTCACCACAGACGTGGATGTGAAACGCAATTGAGTTTAGGATAAGCAATTAGTTAGGCGGCTACACACGTTAAGGGGAGAGGGAAACAAACGAGTGCGGCGAAGAAAGGGCAGTTGAAAGCAAACAACCAACCGCCGCACTGGCAAACAAAAAGGAAACCAACACAAAGCGCCGGCACACGCACTCACGTCGCAAAGCAAAAACCGGTCCAACCACCAGCCAAACAAGCGAAACAGTAGGAGGAGCACACATGAGGCACACACACACACACACACACACACACACACACACACACACACACACACACAACAAAACACAGCCAAATGGCAGTGCTGAGACTTGATTGCATCACGTCAGTCCTCATCTTGCATGGCCATTCGCAACTCCTGCAGCTCAGCGGGACTCAGCACGGGCTCCTCATCCTCTCCGCTCGTCTGCGTGCTCGTGCTTGTGGTCGTGTGCGGTGGAAGCTGGAGATCCGGCACACTTGCACGTGCACGCGCGCCTGTCGTGGATGGCGTGTCCACGACAACCACACCGTCACTGTCATCGTGATCATTTTCATCAGCAACATCAGCATCGTCTCCATCAGCATCGCGAGCGTCTGCAACTGTTGGCGGCGCCTTCTTGCCGGCGTTCTTCTGCTCCGTCTTCTTGGCTTTGGCCTTTGCTGTTGTCTGCTTCTTTCCTTCTCCCTTGGCGGGACGCTTCTTGCTTGCCTGCCTGCCCTCTGCTCCCGTCTCCGCGCCGTCGACACCAGCGCCACCGCTGACAGCTGGCACCGCATTCTTGTCCTTGTGCGCACGCTTCTCACCCCCCTCTGCCTCTTTCTCATTGCCTTCCCCTTCCCCCTCCTCATCATCATTTCCTCCTTCATCGCCATCTCGGTCATCATCGTCGCTGCTGATGCCTGGTTCCCCCCTGCCCTGCTGCTGCTGCTGCTGCTGCTTCGTTGACGTTGAAGCTCTAGCAGCAGGCGTGACAGTTGCGGCTGTGTCCGGTTGTGCTGACTCAGCAGTTTGCTCCGCGTGCGCCTGTCGCTGGTGGGTTGGCGCGTCCTCTTGGTCGCGCTGTTGCTGTTGTCGTTGTTCTTTCTGGAGTAGGCGGCGTTGCTTGCGCTGCTCCTCACGCTGCAGTTTCGCGCTTTCCTGGAGAATAAACGCCTGCACCTCCTCCAGTTGTCTGCACGCGGTGCGATGTTGTGATATGTCGATGAGGAAGTGAAAAATAAAGAAGGAAAGGGAGGTGTGTGTGTGCACACGTGCATGTATGTGGATGCAACTATGCGCATGCATGTGTGTATGTGTATGTGTGTATGTGTGTGTGTGTATGTGTGTGTGTGTATGTGTGTGTATATGTGCGTGGTTGTCCCCATCAACTCGCTTCCTCCTCGTTCCTCTCCACAAAGAGAACATGCGAGTGGCACTGACGTGTACACGGGGACGTCGAGCGTCTCTGCTCCGGCTGGCGGCGGCTTCGTTGGCCCCGAAAACACACACACGGGCTTGTCGTACAGGGCGGAGAGAGCAAGCTCAGAGGCGGTGCCTTTGCTGCCGGGAAGACAGACGATGATGTCGCTGGTGAGGATGTTGATGTGGTTGCGGCTCTGAGGGCTGTTGTCCTTGCCTGCCAAGTGCGTGATGATGGGGATCTCAACATATGGGTTTGGGTACCCGGGCTGGTGTATGCGTGTATGTGTGTGCGTGTGTCATGGTGGGATGGCAGATGAGATGGTGGTATCCAATGGTCGTGATATAGAACACCCACGCGAGCAAGCACACGTGACGATGTAACATGAGTCACACACATAAACGAACAAACGAACAAACAAACGAACAAACAAACAAACAAACAAACGAACAAACAAACGAACAAACAAACAAACAAACAAACAAACAAACAAACAAACAAAACAAACAAACAAACAAACAAACAAACAAGTAAGATCGGCTGGACGTACGTATGGCGTGCGGTTGTCTTCGCTTGAGCGAACAACGCCGACGCATCGTCCGTGACGCTTTCGCACGGAGACAAACGCCTTGCTGGCTGCTTGCATCACGCCGCGCCCGCCACCCGTCAGCAGATTGTACCCGCGCTTGGCCAGCCACCTGATCCGTGTGTTGTGGTGTGGTGTGTGTATGGGGGAGTGTGTTGGATTGAGTGTCGTGGATGATTGTGTGCGTGTGTGTGTGCGTTTGTGTGTGTTTGTATGTGCATTGTGAGTGTATTCGTGTGTGCAGTGTGAGTGCACGACGGTTGCGTGCGTGAAAGCAAGGGAATCGTTGGTGTAAGTGCGCAGGGTTGCTCATTATGTTTGTGAACAAGGGCGGGCGCTGGGTAAGAAGTGACGTACTGCGCAAGCGGACAGGCAAGCTCAGCGTGGGAGTCAGTGCCTACATCAGAGAGTGTGTGTGTGTGTTTGTGTGCGTGCGTGTGTGTGTATGTGTGTGTGCGTGTATGTGTATGTGTATGTGTGTGTGTGTGCAGTGTGTTAGAAAGGTTCAAACAAAGTCAGCGGTGCAGGCATCCATGCACCAAAGTGCAAACCACACAGACGCACACACACACACACACACACACACACACACACACACACACACACACACACGTGATGCACCTGATCCCATGATGCCGACGGTAAGGAGGCGGATGGGGCGCGGATCCAAGCGCTCCTCGATGCTCAGCTGCTCCATGCCAGACTGATGGTCACGTGCGTGTGCGCGTGTGTGAGGATGAAACGTGGGGTTGATGCAAGTCGGCGCTTTTGATGCATGCACGCATGCGAGAGCACATGCAACCCAAGACAATGCAGGACAACGCACGTCAAACGCCTTGAGTGTTTCCCCGGCAGACTCAATCAGGCTGGTGCCGAAGCTTCGGGCCTGGCCAACGAAGCTCATGAAACCTGCAGCAATCTCATCAAGCTGATTGGTCCAAACACAAGAAAGCAGCACCAACAGCGTGAACACCGCTCACGCTGTGTGTCCTTGTGCAAATGCGTGCATGTGCATGTGTATGTGTGTGTGCGAGTGCGTGCGCGCGTGTGCGTGTTTTCAAATACACAAGAAGCACACATACATCAAGGCAAGTGTGGGCGTACTTCGTGTTCGATATCCTCTGCCAGGGTGCGGTGCGGAGAGTGGGGTTGCTGTCCCGTAGCCAGGGCGGCACCTGTCCGCGTGGTTGCTTGAGCCGAGCGAGGCTTCTGGGGTTTATTTCTCCTTTGTGTCGTCTCCTGCTGCTCCTTCACCTGATCGTCTGTGTCATCCCGAGCAGCGCTCTTGCCGCCAACCCCGGTCGCGCGGCCATCACCACCCTCATCATCACCCTCATCACCATCGCTAACCTCATCATTAAGGTCATTGTGTTGGGTGTCCTTCGCGCCCTGCGGGTCTTCTTGTTCTTCTTGTTCTTCTTCTTGTTGCCGTCGCACGGCTTCCTCGTGCCGCAAGCGCTCCATCCTCTCTTCTTCGTCTTCGCCAAGGAGCAACAGGTCCGTGAGCCAGCCGCTCATGGTCCACACGTTTCCGAACGCAAGCCACCACTACCACGAATATATGTGCGTGAGCGTGTGCGTGTGTGTGTGTGTGTGTGTGCGTGTACGTGAGACCTTGTGCGCGTGTGTTTGCCAGCTTGTGTGCGTGCCTGTGCAAGATGCACAGCAACGAAATGCACAAGAGACGCACAGGAAGTACAGCAACGCCCTCCCGCGATACAGATCACATGAATACCAGCCAACCAGCCACACAACCAGTCAAACCAATCAGCAAAAGTACATAACCGTCGCCCCCACCACTAATCCCTGTGTTGTGTTGTGTTGTGAGAACTCCACACACACCTACACACACACACACACACACACACACACACACACACACACACACACACACAAACACACACACACACACACACACACATCGCACCTCGAAACACTCGCTTGCTGACTCGCTGTGCTGCTGATCGACAACCACCAACAGACAACAGTCGCACCCCCTTGCTGTTGCCTGCCTGGTTTGTTTGGAATTGCGGGCACTCCCGTTTTTGCTGACTGTGCAGAAATTGTTTCAGGAAATATTGCTGGAAACATGGCGAATCGCAGGAGCGCTGAAATTTATCAAAAATCAAGAGTTTTTGGCGGGAAGACGCGACGAACCAGCAGAACAACAAGCAAGAAGCAAAAAGACGGCAGCCACTGCCAAACCACAACAACATCATCAGCTGACAGAGTGCGTGGCGGTCGAGCGGAGGACAACCAGCAACCAAGACTCACCAACCAACAGACAGCCATGTCGTCTCGCGTGCCCACCTATGACCAAGACATTGGTTGGTAACCGCGCTTGATGCTGAAGCTATGATGAGCTCATGCGTGTGCGTGTGTGCGTATGCGTGTAGGTGTGCGTGTGTGTGGTCTGCGCGTGCGTGCGTGTGTGTGTGTGTGCGTGTGAGTGCGTGTGTGTGTGTTTGTGCGTGCGCGCGCGTGTGTGTGTGGTCTGCAGCATGCAGTCACGAGACCTGCAAGCACAACAAAGCATGACAGGCACAACAGTGTGCCTTGCGTATGATCTGAGCCCACCAATCACACGAACCCCCACTCATGCAATAAGTGTCAACACCACTCACATACAACGCGCACCTCACTCCTGCTTCAGAGAAGTGCAAGTCGTTCTTGCAAGAGTTCCAGACTGGCGCTGGAGCCTCACGCCACTTCAAATATGGAACTCAGATGGTGTGTTGTTTGCCTGTTGGCAGCGCGTGTGCGCTATCTTTCGGTGTGGGGGGAGAGATCGCTATGGCCGTGCACACCGCCCCGTGCTCTTGCTTCGTTCATGCCATGCCTGCTTTTCACGCATGTCCTTCAACATCACAGCAAGAGATTGTGAACCGGGAACGCGATGTTCTCGAGATTGATCTCGACGATGTCTACGATGTGCGTACGCATTCAACCATGTGTGGATGTGGGTGCATGTTCGTCGTCGTGCCCGTGTGCATTTGTGTGCATGTTGGTGTTGTGTGCATGTGCGCATGTGTAGTCATAATGTGTCTCAACTGCTTTTTCTTTTGCTGCTCGGGTTGTGAGGAACCTGAAGCCATGCTTGCTCGCATGTTTGAGCTTCAACAGTGCCTTTGATCCACTGCTAACACCAAACATCATGCTCATCGCGCGCAGTTTGGAAGCTCGGATCTTGGTGACAACATCCTCCAAAACACCAAGCGTTACACGTCCCTCTTTGCCGAGGCCTGCGATGATCTCTCAAAGGACATTGCCGTGACAAACGAGGTGTGTGCGTGCGTGCGTGTGTGCATGTGTGCATGTGTGTGCATGTGTGTGTGTGCGTGCGTGCGTGCGTGCGTGTGCGTGCGTGCGTGTGCGTGCGTGCGTGTGCGTGTGTGTCTGTTACACTGGCTGTGCCAATGATATTTTCTCCTGTCTCGCGCTCGTGGAACCATAGTTGTGTGCTCATGTATAACTTCCTCTTGCCATGGCCTACTCTCTGTCTGCACACTTTGCATTGGCACAGAACGCCGAGAGGACGCCTCTCGATACATACATCCAGCACCGCATTGCTCTGCTCAACAGCAACCAACGTACGTTTGGTCATATTGCGGTGGTGTTGCTTTGCTGACGTCATGCAATACACTCTCACCAGCTCACAGGCTTGCTGTCACGCGCCCAACTGACTCACGCATTCTCCTGCCCCTCCCGTTTTCCAACGCAACAACAGCGGAAGGTGCAGAGGTTGATCCCCGCACACGTTACCCGGCTTCTCTTCTCCGCAGATAGTGCGTCTGAGTCCTGCCACTCGCTCTCTGTTTCCTTGTACCATTTGCTCTGTCACACTCAACTCGCTCACTGCTGCCTTCAACTTATTACACGCACTCAACTTGCTCGCTGTCGCCCTCACACACACACACACACACACACACACACACACACACACACACACACACACACACACACACACACACACACACACACACACACACACACAAACACACACACACACGTACGTCAATGGTCATGCCATGGTGTAGTGAGGTCATGTTCAAGCCTCCAAGCACACAGAAGGGCCGCAGCATCCGCCAAGTCGACGCAAAGGACATTGGCTCCCTCGTTACCGTCGAAGGCATTGGTTCGTCAACTCCACCAAACTCACAGCCATGACATCGTTGCTGTCGCTGTCGCTGCCATGCAAAGCTTGCATGTTTGAGAGCGCCTGAATGTGTGCAGAGTGTGCAACTTGACTTGCTGCCTGGACGTTTGCTTCTCTGACCCACCGAGTGTTTATATGTGTTGACCGTCTTTCCATCGCTTCCCTGCTCACACATGCACGCATTCCCTGCGGTGTGTGTGTGTGTGCAGTGACGCGTGCCACTGCGGTAAAGCCGCTCATGTCGGTTGCGACGTACTCGTGCGACGCGTGCGGGTCTGAGGTGTACCAGGAGGTGAAGAGCCCCAACTTCATGCCCCAGTTCTCGTGCACGAGCGAGGTGTGCGCCCAGAACAAGCAGCGTGGGCGCCTCACCCTGCAGACGCGCGGCTCAAAGTTTATCCGCTTCCAGGAAATCAAAATCCAAGAAATGGTGCGTGTGTGTGTGTGTGTGTGTGTGTGTGTGTGTGTGTGCGTGCGTGTGTGTGTCTGCGTGTGTGTGCGTGCGTGTGCGTGTGCGTGTGCGTGTGCGTGTGTACGTGTGCGTGTGCGTGTGCGCGTGTGATGTGTGTGGTGTGCATTTTCATTTCAGTTTGCAAATGCCGCCGCTTGTGACGTTGCGTGGTGCAGCCTGAAAACGTTTGGTAGTCCCTGCCGTACAATGCACGATGCCCATCTCACCATCACCACCACCACCATCACCACCATCACCACCATCATCACCACTAATTCCTTGGGCAGGCGCGCCATGTCCCCACGGGCCACATCCCGCGCACCATGACAGTGCATGTGTTTGGCAAGAACACGCGCGTGGCCTTCCCTGGCGACGAAGTGACCATCACAGGCATCTTCCTGCCCGTGCCGTATACGGGCTACCGCGCCATCCGCGCAGGTTTGCTCTCAGACACATACCTCGAAGCGCAGCACATTGACAAGCGCAAGAAGACACACGCAGAGCAGTCGCTGACAGAGGAGATGCGCGCCGAGATTGAGGAGAAGGCTGGGGAGCCCGAAATCTACGACCAGCTGGCGTCGTCCATCGCTCCGGAGATTTACGGCCACGAGGACGTCAAGAAGGCGCTGCTGCTGCTGCTCGTTGGCGGCGCAGACAGGAAGCTTGCAGACGGCATGAAGATCAGGGGCGACATCAACGTCTGCCTGATGGGCGATCCCGGTGTTGCCAAGTCGCAGCTGCTGAAGAAGGTGGCAGAGCTTGCGCCGCGTGGCGTGTACACCACGGGCCGCGGTAGCTCCGGCGTCGGTCTCACAGCCGCCGTCAACAGAGTCAGTCGGCATGTGTGTGCGTGCGTGTGCGTGTGCGTGCGCATGGTTTGCATGTGCGTGCGTGTGCGTGCGCATGGTTTGCGTGTGCGTGTGCGTGTGCATGTGTGTATACGTGTGCGTGTGTGTTGACATAGCAACTGCGGGTGTTGGCTGTTGTTATTCCTTTCGCATCTCCCTTCCCGAGTGGCTGCCACCGCTGTCTCACGCCTCTGTTGCTCCTCCACCATCTCACATTTTTTTTTGTTCCATGCAGGATCCCATCACCAAAGAGCTTGTGCTTGAGGGCGGCGCGCTTGTGCTTGCGGACATGGGCGTCTGCTGTATTGATGAGTTTGACAAGATGGAAGAAGGCGTACGTTGCAAGCTGTTTTGTTCCTTTCTTGTGGTGCATTGTGCTTCTGACAATTTTCTTCTCCACACAACACACACACACACGCCTTACAACACACATGACAGTGCCACTGTCCTCACATGACACGCCATGTGCGGTCGTATGTTTATCCCTGCTGTTGCTGTTTGTCCCTCCTTTATTGTTGTGCTGTGTTCTGCTTGTGTTGTGTTCAGGATCGGACTGCGATTCACGAGGTGATGGAACAGCAGACCATCTCCATTGCAAAGGCCGGCATCACCACCACCCTCAATGCACGTGCTGCCATCCTCGCCGCCGCTAACCCGGCATACGGCCGATACAACATCAAGGTTGTGTGGCTCGTTGTGTTGTGTGTTGACGATGGCATGTTTGATTCATTCTCCATGTAACACTCCTCCTCCTTCTTCGACCCTACGCTCCTCATTCTCTGACACTCAACTCCCGTCCCCCCCTCAAAACACACACACACATGTGCATGCAACGTGCAGCGGTCGCCCACGCAAAACATTAACTTGCCTGCGGCGCTGCTGTCTCGCTTTGACCTCATGTTTCTCCTCCTCGACCGTCCAAACCTCGACGCCGACCTCAGGTCTGCACGCAGATGCGGTGTGCTTGTGTGTGCATGTTTTGTGCTTGTGTGTGCATGTTTTGTGCTTGTGTGTGTACTTTGTGTGTGTGTGTGCTTGTGTGTGTGCAGGTTTTCTGTGTGTGCTTTGTGTATTTTTGCGTGTGTGTGTGTGCTGCACGTTCTGACCTTTCTGTTGGCACATTGAAGCTGTTGTCACTGTTCTCATCATGTCTCATCCGTTCACAGGCTTGCGCGACACATCACATATGTGCACGCCCACAACGATTTCCCAACAGAGGGGAGGGAGCCGCTCGAAGTTGATTTTCTCAGGTGTGGCCGACACGCACTCACTTGCTTGTGTGTGAATGAATGTGTGTGCGTGTGTGCGTGTGTGCGTGTGTGTGTGTGTGCGTGCGTGTGTGTGTGTGTGTGTGTGTGTGTGTGTGTGTGTGTGTGTGATTGCCTGTGCGTGTTAACATTTCGGTGTTGTTCCCGAATCAACGGAATGACAGGTGTGAATTTATTCTCCTCTCCCCTCACCCAATTGCTGTTTGTATCTCCCTCTCATCGCGCGTGCAGGAACTACATTGCGGTTGCCAAGACCTTCGAGCCATACATCCATCCCGACCTCACAGATCACATCACTGGCGTCTACGCAAAGATCCGCGAAGACCAGGAGGAGGTGTGTGTATTTGTGTGTATGTGTGTGATTGTGTGTGATTGTGTGTGTGATTGTGTGTGTGTGTGATTGTACATGTGTGATTGTGTGTGATTGTGTGTGTGTGTGATTGTACATGTGTGTGTGTGTACCTCCCGTTGATTGCTTCGTCAACCTTGTCTCCCACCCCAACCCCTTTCCTCAACGGACTTACACCCGCATGCTTGCTTCGAAACGCAGAGTGTGGATGATACGCACATCACTGCGCGAACACTGCTTGCCATTCTCCGTCTCTCCACAGCGCTGGTTCGTCCTCACATGTGCTGCGCTTTGCACGCTTGTGTGGGCCGCCTTGGGTGCCCTTGATGTGATTGAAGGGAGACACTTTCTCCACTTTTCACCCGTCACCCACGTCCTCCTCACCCTCACAAACACACCTCTACTCATGCACATGCATCTGCACATGTTCACATGTTCACATGTATGTGCCAACGTATTGGTTCAGGCCAAGCTTCGTTTCAGCAACGAGGTTGTGCAGGAGGACTTTGAGGAAGCGCTTCGCCTGATGCACTCCAGCAAGGTTTGGCCCCTGTGCATGCGTGCATGTGTCCGTTTGTGTTGTGTGCGTGTTTAGCGTGCTCCCCCTGTGACAAATTTGCTCATCCAGGCACATTGTCACCATGCACGGATTGGTTTTGCACATTAGGCGTCTGTGCTGGAGGCCAAGGAGACGCAGCGCAAGCGCAAGGATCCCATCAAGGACATTTACGAGATTATCAAGGACATGAAGCACAGGCACAAGACATCAGACCTCAGGTGCGCAACCAAGCAGCCAGTGTGTGTGTGTGTGTGTGTGTGTGTGTGTGTGTGTGTGTGTGTGTGTGTGTGTGTGTGTGTGTGTGTGTGTGTGTGTGTGTGTGTGTGTGTGTGTGTGTGTGTGTGTGGTGTTCCATGGGCGGGCGCCCTCCCCCCCCCCAAGCTGGCGCCAGGCATTGCACCCTATCTCTCAGCCTGACGAGTTCTCACAACCGATCCGTTGCACCATCAGGATGTCCGACGTGGAGCGTGTTGTGTCGACCAAAGGTTACGGCATGCAGCCGCTGGAGAAGTGCATTGCAGAGTATGAGGCCCTCAACGTGTGGATGCGCACCGGTGATGGACACCGTCTCAAGTTCATCTGATTCGCTGTGCTCGATGTCATGCCCTGTTGTGTATGTGTGTGTGTGTGTGCGTCATCTCCGTATCTTCCATGCATTCCCGCTTTGTGTACCCTTTGTCTTTAGCTTGCTCGATGTTTTGTTTGTCTGGACGTTCTGTGTTGCCGCGTTGCTATGCCGTTCGCTTGCTTGGTCCGGCATTACCCCTCTTGCTCGTTGACTGCACACAAACACACTTGCACACATGCACACACGAGCACACATGCCATTCTTCCGCCCTTGCCATGTCTCTCGCTTACGTTTCTCTTTGAATGAACAAATGCAAATCAACGCAAAGCCAAGCCAACACACACACACACGTGCACACACGCACGCACACACAAATGTGTCAGGACAACACACACGATGATTGAAGAAACTCGCCCCAGCCTTGCGCCTGCTGCTGCTGCTGTTGCCGCCGCTGTTGCCTTTGTGGAAGCCGTATTCTCCCTGGCTCGTGATCTTGATCTTGATCTTGTTTGTGTTGCTGCTCTTGCTCGTGTCGCTTCTCATGCTCTTGCTTATGCCCCTGCGCAGCGGCTGCAGCCTGCTGAGCTGGCTGCTTGGCGCGTTTGGAGCTGTCGTCATATTCGCCCCCGCGTGCGTTCGCTGCGCGCTTGGCTTTGTTCCGCTTGCGTCGGGCTCGCGCATCCAGCGCTGCCTCTGCTGGGTCAATGACGGGATCGCCAGCGCGGCGATGGCGAACAACCACAGCTGTGCTCTCCGTATTGCCGAGTTTGAAGCGCTGCTGGCGGCATATGTGGAGCTCTTGCCCGTGCACAGCGGTGAGCAGCGTTGTAAGCTGCTTCTTGCTGGTGAGCAGAACGGCACGGCCGCTTGGACGCAGCACACGCGTACACTCACGCAGCACCGCAGGGTACAGGTCCCTGTTGTCTTTCGCTGAGCCAAACTTCTTGCCAAAGGGCAGATCGCACACAATGCGGTCGATGGACGCGCTCTCCAGCGGCAGCATGCGCGCGTCCCCCTTGAACAGGGCCGCCTGGTGCGACGAGCGCGTACCAATGGCGTTCTGCGCGGCCGCTCGCAGCTGAGCGTTCGACATGTCGGTGCCCACGAGCAGCGCAGCAGGGCAGAGCCGGTGTGCCTCGAATAGCAAGGCGCCTTTGCCGCACATGGGGTCGAGGATGACGTCGCCGGGCCGCGGTTCAGCCATCATGGCAAGCGCGTAAGCGGCGCTGCCTCTCAGCCCTTCCACAACAATGTCTTTGCGATCCGTCAGCCGCTGCTCGCTGAGGGAGATGCCCACGAAGACAAAGGTGTCCTCGACGCGAACATACACTTCCATGTCGTACGACTTGAGGTCCACGCGCCAGCCCAGCTTGTTTCGCATACTGATGCCCACATGTGCAGCAATGTCCGTTGAGCGGAGGTGCTTTGACCTTCCACCGATGCGCTTGCACGACACGCGAAAGGAGGGTTCAAAGCTGTTGCTGGTGTTCTGGGTGGCGTTTCGCCATGCGGCAAGCGCGGCGGCGGCTGCCTTGGGTGTGATGGCATCTGCGATTAGCTCCATGCACTCGGTTGCGTCGCGCTCCTTGAACGTCGCCATCACGCTGTCGTCCAAGCACGCCAGCCCCGCGAATGCCCGTTCCACCGTCCTACGGAGCATGGTGCGAACGTGTGTGCGAATGTGTGTGCGAATGACAGGGAAAGAGAGAGAGTGTGTGTGTGCGTGTGTATGTGCGTATGTGTGTGCGAATGACAGGGAAAGGGAGAGAGTGTGTGTGTGCGTGTGTATGTGCGTATGTGTGTGCGAATGAGAGAGAGAGAGAAAGCGCGCGCGCGCGTGTGTGTAAAGTGACAGCGACTCACGGCAATGGGTAGCAATCGATGCAAGCATGAAGACACATCACGTCACACACATCACACATCGGATCGCATCACATCACATCACACAACAGCAACACACAACAGCAACACACAACAGCAACACACACACACACATATACATATACCTGAGGTTGAGGAGATCACAAGCCTGGCATTCTGACGTGAATCTGACGAAGCTCTCAGTGGTGTTGACGTCCGATGCACCAAGGAAGCTCTCCACCTCCTGGGCGGCAAACCCTTCCAGCCCACTGTTGGTTGACAGCGCGTACAGCATGCTGGCTCGCCACTGTTTGGTGTGCGCCAATGCGCGATTTGTGCTGATTCAGCAGATTTATGATGAACACACCCCACACACCTGCCCCTAATTTCCTCTACCAAGCAAGCAAGCAAGCAGGCAAGCAGTTTGAATTTTTTGTTTTCTTCTTCTTTCCACCCCTTCTCCTTGCTCCGTTTGTTTGTTTGTTGGTTGGGTGTGCACTCTCCTCCCGCCCCTCCGCCCCTATCTGCTAAGACAACAACACGCCTACACGCTTCGACCCTTTGAAACTGCGCAGCAGCCAACAACCCACAACCATGGGACAGGATCAGAGCATGCCAAGCAGCACAAGTGCTGTGACTGCACAGGAGTTTGTCGAGGCCATGACAGGCCAGAAGCTTGCTGACGAGATGGGCTTTGCAGACTTTGACCCCATGGATTTGGTACATGCATGTGTTGTGTTGTTGTGTTGTTGTGTTGTGGTTTCGTGCACAGCACAAGCACCGTGTGTGTGTGTGTGTGTGTGTGTGTGTGTGTGTGTGTGTGTGTGTGGGTGGGTGTGGGTGTGGCTGTGGGTGTGGCTGTGGGTGTGGCTGTGTGTGTGTGGGTGTGGGTGTGGGTGTGAGTTCGGGTTTGTTTACTGGGAGTTATCTCGCATTAGTTGGTGTGATGAGACTTGTGTCTCGCTGTGTCGAGCGTCTGCCAAGGCCAAACATAACGGTGTCAACCCACCTCTACCTTATGCGACAGATCCCAGGCGTGACAGAGTTTACACCAGATCAAGTCTCCAAGCTCGACACCTTCCTGAGTACGTTGCGTCTCCGGTATTGGGTGGCTCCAGCTGCGACACACGCGTGTCGACACCGTTCAATGCCCATGAAACACGATGCGTGCCACTGATCTTCCATCTCCTTGCACTCATCCACATGTATACTTGTCTCCATTGCGTTTGACATGGACTGCTTGCGGTTGGACTACTGCAGCGGACGAGCTCAAGTCACTGCGTGGGGTCTTGCGGGAGCTGAGCAAGAACCGCAACAGCGGATTCCTCACGCAGTTCCAAAACATTAAGGCGGGCTTGAGTGAGTGTCACTGTTATGTGTCTTTGCAGAAGAATGTCGATGGCCAATGACGAGCCTCTGTGCACTGGTCTGAATGTGCACTGTGCGTTGCATTGTTTACCACACGGCTCACCATGACATGCACATTCATCTTGTGTGTGTGTGTGTGTGTGTGTGTGTGTGTGTGTGTGTGTGTGTGTGTGTGTGTGTGTGTGTGTGTGTGTGTGTGTGTGTGTTTGCAGCCAACCCTGCGGATGCGTCTCGGGCACGTGGCAATGAACCCCTCAACCGATACGCCAACATTGTCGCCTACGATCACTCACGGGTCACCGTCTCTGGCAACCAGGTGCGCATATCCGGGTGTGTGTGTGTTTGTGGAAGTGTGCATGTATGTGTTTGTGTGTTTGTGGAAGTGTGTATGTATGTGTTTGTGTGTTTGTGTGTGCGTTTGTGTGCGTTTGTGCGTTTGTGTGCGTTTGTGTGTTTGTGTGTGTTCATGTTTCCTTGTGTGTGAGTGGGTACACGCAAGCGTGTGCAACAGCAAAGGACGAAAATGTTGATGTGCATTATGGCTTACACGTCGTGGTCTGCTGGCAACAACAGTACAACCTCAACAACGACTACGTCAACGCCAACTGGATCCCTGGCAAGAGCGGTCCTCGCCACTACATCGCCTCGCAGGGACCCGTCCCCGACGCTTTTCCATCGTACGTGTATGGTTCCACATATTCTCAGCCGTTGTGGCAAACACACCTCACAACACACGAATGTGCGTGCGTACTGACACGTGCACTATTCACTTGGTCATATCAACGCATGCAGGTTCTGGCAGATGGTGTGGGAGAACCAAGTCTCTGTGATTGTCATGGTCACCAACGAGGTATGCAACAAGCAAAGCACGGGAGGGCATACTCACGTATTCCCAAATGCAACACAACACACACACACACACACACGCACACACACACACACACACAAACATGCACACACACACACACACACAAACATGCACACACACACACAAACATGCACACACACACACCAATCACACACACACAAACATGCACACACACACACACCAACATCACACACGCACACACACACACACACACAATTGCCGATACAGCACGCAGCCTCACGCTCACAGCAATCTCATGCTGTTGTTGTTGCAGGTGGAAAACGGCAAGCTCAAGTGCCACAGATACTGGCCCGAGCCCATGCAGGGCACATCCGCGGCGGTAAATAAACCATGCATTTGGACCCCGGGCACTGATTGCGCGCTCATTATCGGTCCCTGCCTCAAGCCCCACTGCCACTAACCAACCACCTCGATGGAACAGACATTCGCCCTTTCCAGTGCTCACTCACGTGTGCCACTCGCTTTGGCGTTCGATTCATGTCATGTGCTTCACAACAGATCCAGTGCGGTGGTTTTGAGGTCACATTTGTTGGCCAAGACGTGCTGCCAACGTTCGTGCTGCGCACGTTCTCTGTGAAGCAAGCCAGCAATGGCGAGGTATGCAGCACGCGTGGCGTGATGACTATGCGGGTTCTACCTTGGCTTTCTGCTTTCGGCAGTTTGTCGCTGAGCGATGATAGACGTGCCGCAATCCCCCCCCTTCACACACATACACACATACGCACGCACGCACGCATACGTACACGCACACGCACACACACACACACACACACACACACACACCAGACGCGTGAAGTCGTGCAGTTTGCATACACGGGTTGGCCAGATCACGGCGTGCCTGCCACCACAAAAGAAATGATCAACTTCAGGTTGGAGTTGGTGGAAGTAATCGGGTGTTGTGGAGGATCGTCTGTCAACCACACCCAATCGTTTTGCGTGCAAGGAGATGGTCATTCTGCACGACTGCACATACACGGCGCGCGCTCGCGCGCTCTCCCACTCATATTCATCGCCTTGCGCGCTTTGGCAATATGTACTTGATTGGTTTGCAGGCGCCGTGTCAAGGAGGAGCACCTGAAGCGCAAGGGCCCATTGCTCACTCACTGCAGTGCCGGTGTTGGTCGCACCGGCACCTTCATTGGACTGGATCGCTACCTCGACGCATGCCTTTCCTGCCAGAAGCAGACCATCCTGGGCATCGTCGAGGATATGCGCCACCACCGCAACTTCATGGTGCAGTCGCCGGTAAGAGGAGGCCGTTTGTCACATGGACTGCACCTTGCCGCTGCTCCCTCAATTCCGTGCGTGAATCTTACATTGCCGACATCTGCCTGTGTCTCTTTGATGGCTGATGCTGTTGTCATGCCCATGCACCCAGATCCAATTCGTGTTCCTGTACCTGGCGTGTCTCGACGGCCTGGAGCGCATGCAGAAGATCACAACCAAGGTAACCAACGCAGGGGCAAGGCGAAGGGATGCAGGTGCCTGCGGCACTTGCAGCATGTAAGATCCTGTGATGCCGGCCTGTGTTCATGGGGAAGGGGTCACTCATGTTGTTCTTGGTACATTTTCGTTTTATGCATCCTGACTGACGACGACAGGCGAAGCGCTATCTGACGTTGACGGCAGATGAGCGGCGCCAAGAAGAGCTCGCGGAAGTCACCGGTATGTATGTTGAGAGCGCCCCTTTGCAATGCGTGGTGCATCTGTGGTCAAATCAGAACTGCTGCCTCGCTCGTAGAAAGCCCATTACATTCACTCTCTCCGCTCACATGGTCTCGTGTGTGCCCTGAATGCAGCTGCTTTGGAGCAGGGCGAGAAAGCCCTCAACACGTGGAAGCTGCGTGAGAAGCGTCAGGTGAGATGGGGACGAGCGTCTGTTGTCAAGAGCATCTGCCTCTCTCCAGCGTGCGAGCTAGCATGTCTGTGGTTGCTTGCGGTGATGTCGTGTCGTTCTGTGTCTTGCAGACATTTGTCTGCTCACTCTGCCCAATCATCACCACGATTAATTAACCAGGTCCCAGCTGCTGGCGAGATCTTCAAGGTGGGCAGCTCAACGTCTGCACGCATGCATGGCCCTAATCGATCCCTCTTGATTTATCGACTTCTCCCTTGAAACGCTCCGGGTTGCTCACACGCGCACACTTCTCTTCACGAACACACGCGCAAACTGTACTCGTTTGATCTCTTTGTTTTGCACGCGCAGAACTCGGATGACCCCTCAGGTTCGACAGCGCTTGTTCGCGAGACAGAAGGCTCCTTATCATTTGTTTGAAGAGGCACTGGTGCCCTGGTCCTGGTTGACAGACGGGCTTTACTGCGACTGATCAAAACCTCACGCCATCACACCCTACTTTCATCTACTGAAACTTACACGTGCTCGGAAACATGTGTCCTTAGGCAAGACTGGCTACTTTGACCCTGAAGCACCCACACTCAAGCGCCGCATGGAAGCTCTCAACCAATCGGTGTGTGTGTGTGTATGTGTGCGTGTGCGTGTGTGTGTATGTGTGCGTGTGCGTGTGTTTGAATGTGTGCGTGCGTGCGTGCGTGTGTGTGTGTTTGAATGTGTGTGCGTGTGTTTGAATGTGTGCGTGTATGAATGTGTTTGTGCGTGCGTGTATGAATGTGCGCGCGCGCGTGTGTGTATGAGCGTGTGCGCGTGCGTGCATGTTGTGAGGTTTTGCAGCCCACGCGTGTACATTTGGTTGCCCAGGGAGGGAGCTTGCCTGCACCTCATTTCTGTTCGAAATGCACATGTATCGTTTCTCACTGTCTTCTCATGTGCCACGCATACCAGCGAGTGACCTGGAACAAAGAGCTGTCAGACGCACAGGCCCGCTGGCAGAAGGAGCGGGTAGGTGCAGAGTACATGGTCGATGACAACCTGCTCCGTGCACTTTCTCGGACTGCATGATTCAATGCGCTGACGCATACGACCGCACCCTAACATGTAGTGTGGTGTGATGCTGTGATTCTAGGGCGAGAATGGCGAGGTGTACAACATTGAGGAGACCATGGCACCAATGCAGTCACGCTTGGCGGCGCTGGCTGAGGCACAGGCAGCCTTCCAGCAACGTGCAACAGGGGACGCCCAGCTGGTTGAGCTGAAGGACAACATTGCATCTGTGCAGAACCGTCTTGAGGTGGGTGTGGTTCGTGTGCGCTTGCGTGTGCGCGTGCGTGTGTTTGTTTGTTTGGTTGTGCCGACTTTGGATCTCACGTACTCTGATTGGGGGTTGCGTGTTTGACAGAGCTTGTGCGTGTTTGTGTATGGCGAGTCATGGAAGAAGCGCGGGCATGGCTTCCGTGGCAAGGGTTCGGACGCCCCTGTGCGGTCGCACACCACGGAAATGCTTGGAACACTCCAGAACCGCCTTGAAATGCTGGCTCGTGACACCACGTCATGGCTCGACAGGTTTGCCATCAAGCTCCAGCTGTTGTGTTGATGTGTTGCGCTGTGCTGTGTTGCACGGTGCTGTGTTGTGTAGGATGAGTTTGTTGTTTATGTGTGCTGCTTGACATGCACATCTCCCTCTTATATATACACCCGCACACACACTCACTGACTCACTGACTCACTGACTCACTGACTCACCCACTCACCCACTCACCCACTCACTCGCTGACCCACTCACTCTCTCTCACACACACATGCATGGTACATGGGTGGGACAGGGAGTTCCATGCATATCAGCCATACACGGGCCCAGACACGTTTCAGCAAGAGGTGCAGGAGCAGCGCGCACTGCAGGAGAAGGTGATGAAGCAGCGCATGCAGGAGCAGCAAGAGCGCGAGCAGCGCGCGCAGCAGGCCCAACAAGACAAAGAGCGCATGGCAGCCGAGGCAAAGGCACGCGAGGAGGCCGAGCGCAAGGAGCGTGAGCAGCGCGAGCAGGTGAAGGAGATGTTTGCCAAGGTGCCCGACATCCCGCTTTCCGCAAACTACGACCCGGCCAAGGCGCGCGCGGAGAAGCAGCGCCTTGCTGAGCTGGAGCTGAAGAAGCAGCAGGAGCAAGAGGCCGCTGCCAAGGCTGCGGAGGAAGCCGAGCGCCTTAAGCTCGAGGAGAAGGAGGCCAAGAAGGAAAAGGCCAAGAAGAAGGCCTCCCGCTTCCTTGGGTCAGTGCGTGTGTGTGTTGTGTGTGTGTGTGTGTTGTGTGTGTGTGTGTGTTGTGTGCAAGCAAATGCAATGGGGCTTCTTGTATTCCTGCAGTCATGCGACCCTCACTCACTTTTCCCCCTTTCCTTGCTGCGCAACACACACCCACTGGCAGGCGTCTGCGCAAGTAAGCAGCCACTACCATGCTGTCCCCATTCCGGTACACACGTGCATTGCTGCATTGGAAGTGATTCTGATTGGATCTTGGAAGAGCCGTCCTTGAATGAAGACCTTGAAGTGTGATAGTGTTTTGCGTTTGCTTTCTGCTGATTGCTCGCTCTTGCTTTTGCTCTGAACAACAACAAACAACAATCGAGCAAGGAAGCAAAATCATAACAACCACACGCAATCATCGTCTCGCGGTTGGTGAGCAAAGGCAATGTCAGCTTCCTGTTCCTGATCATCATCTATCATGGAGGACCCACCAACCTCGACAAGGTGTGCCGAAGACGGAGAAGCAAGTCACACCGTCAAGGGAGGTGAGGTAGCGATGCGCGTCGTCATGTATATGCGTGTCAATGGAGACGGTACTGAGGGCAACGAGGAAGCACCATTGGCACCAGAAGACGCAGCACGTGGCTTTGTGTTTCGAGGAAGGCCACTGGACATGCACTGGTCGCCACTTCACAGTGAGTACAAGAACAAGTTCGTGGGGGAAGAATACTCTGCGTTGCAACTCACCGTGCCTGATGGCCCATGGCTTTGAAACTATGTCCACCATCAGCATCCTGTTCTTACTCTTGTCTCGCTTGGTCCATCGTCTGACTCCCTGACCTTCTTTGTTGACATGACACCCGCGCTCACACCGCTCACAACTCTTACACCCGAGTACACTGCTCCCACCGCCGACCGCACGAATCCTTGAGTCGTTCCGTATCTTCCAGGGAACAAGCCCTGCACTGTATGGCGCTACAACAAGACACCGCCGCCTGTATCTGCGGTGAAGGGAGATGCATCTCTTCCAGACAGCGGCAAGTCAGTGTCCAGGATTGGCTCGACAGAAGCGCGCAAAGAGCAGCAGCGGCAGCAGCGACCGATGGACGCACAGGGTCATGATGACGATGGTGGCGACGATGATGATGATGTCAGTGACAAGGGCGAGGCCAGAAGAGGTACTACTGTGGGGTCCCTGCAGCAGTCACGTGCAACGCCGTCGGCTTGGACGGTGGCCAAGCTGCGACACAAAACAAGAAAGCACCACCACCACCACCACCACCACCACCACCACCACCACCATCATAAGCGCAGCAAGTCTGCGGCATCTGAGGCAGCATCAGTGCTTCGGACAGCTGCATCCAGCTCACACAGGGCCAAGAGCAAGCACAGCATCGTGACGCGCAGCCCTCTGCTCAAACCGCTCAAGGATTTGGCAGGGTTGACCCCGCACCTGCGTGGCCGATGGTTGTGGCCTGCGAGCACAGAGAGCTTTCGCAGCCACAGCGACAAGCTACAGGCCTTGCACATCCTATCCAAGGCCTCCAACCATCTCCACTGCACAGCAAAGCTGCAGGTAACAGCCACGTGGCCTTTCTCATTTCCATACATGTTGGTACACACGCCCCTGGTTGCTGTGCCAGTTCACGTTGGGTCCTGTCCATGAGCCATGTACGCGCTGACCACCCACAACTCCGATTGTGTTGTGATCCTGTGATCCATACACAAGCCCTCACCCCTTAAACCCCCTCCACGCGCACCATGACAGGAGACAGGCGAAGAGGCGCCGTGCGAGGGCTGCACGCCATCTGTGCTGCTCGCTCCAGCAGGTGTTGCCGCGCACCTGCCCTGCATGTGCAGTCGGGTCAACGGTATCCACGTTTATTGCGACTTGGAATTGGCGCTTCAGGTCGGTTCGCAGCACAGGCGAGGTTGAGGAGGGGGCAACAGAAGCAGGGCAGCGACAGAGAGACAGCTTGCAACGGCCGCTTGTCGGGGGCACAGCATGAACAGCACTCCACTCCACCACACCGCACGCAGCAACCACCACGCGCATGCATGCTCAAAACACACATCTAATACGCGACACACACACACACACGCACACACGCGCGCGTGCGCAACACATACACACACATACAGGTGCGACATCTGTTGCGCCACAGGCTCGGTGTCACAGAACCCTTGCTCTACTTCTCAACACGACAAGGGCACATCATGATTGCATAGCGGCAGCGCCGCCATCACCGTCGCCATCACCGTCGCCATCAGCAGGTGGTGCCTCACCCGCGTCACGGTCCGGGTACAAGAACTGGAATCGACGAATGCACATGGCCTCCCCTGTCAACGAACAGCCACGTGGATGATAGCGGTAGATTGAGTGAGCGTGCGAGCTTTTTTTCTCGGAATTGCAGATTGAATGCCACGATGGTGCCGCAGACGGCAAACAACAACAACAACAACAACAACAACAACAACAACAACAACAACAACAACAACAACAACAACAACAACAAACAACAAACAACAACAACAACAACAACAACAACAACAACAACAACAACAACACACATGCACGCACCGTATTTCTCCTTGGCGATGGCAACCTCTGCGACGTTTGCGCTGAGCAGCCACTTGTCGTCCACAGGATCCCACATCCCATCTGTACCCACGACGGCGCACGCGTGCACATGGAACGTGGTCGCATGGAGAGGTATTGAGGGATACCAGTTGGTGTTGTGAAGGAGGGTATGTTGTATGAGCGCATTGGCGGTGTGCGACAGGGCGTGAGCGAAACATTGTAAGTTATATTGTTCAAACTAGCATGGGATGCATGCGGACAGCCTAGTGCGGCGTGTGTGCACCTGTTGCCCCCGTAATGATGAATCGCATAGCGGCAGCAAAGTCTCCACAGTGTCGGTCGATGGCGGAAAACGCGTCACTGCGCGACACGCCGGTGATCTCGCAGAAGGCCTGATGGATGTGGTGGTGGCAGTGATAATGGGGATGAGTGGTGGCTAACATTCATGATTTGACAGTAAACGAAGAGATCCACAGAGGTCAGGACACGCGAAAAAGCACGCACAATGTATGCCTTCACTCACAGACACAGACACACAGACACACAGACCACACACACACACACACACACACCTTGACAATGTCAGTGAGGGGCCTGCCCTGCGCGAACATGTGCTCGATGGACTGTGCATGCGCTGTGAGCATGGCTGGAGACACATCCTGCCGTCGTCGCACCTGCGATGAACGGCTCGGTTCACGCGAATCAGATGCCACAGCCCCGTGTTGTTGTTGTTGTTGTTGCTGTTTGCGGGAGACCCTTTCCTTTTTCTCCTTTGCTTTCTTCTCCTTGCCCTTCCTTGTCTCTTTTCTCTTCCTTGCCTCCTTTGCTGCCTTGGTTGTTTTCCTCTTCCTTTTCTCTGTGCTCTTGTCCACCCTATCCTTCCTGCGTGCCGGCCTCGTCTGTGCTTCCCTCCCGCCTTCGGTTCTCGCTACTGCACCCGCTGTCATCGTTGGTGTGGTGAATGCAGCTGCACCCGTCTCCTTATGCGTTGTCTGCTGCGCTGGTGCTTTCGATTTCGCTTTGCTGCTGCGACGCGCTGATACTGCCGTATCCCTCCCCTTGGCCTTTGCTGTTGCTGGTGACCGCACTTGCTGCGCACGCTTTGCGCGCTTGGGCGTATGCTCTTCTTGTGTCGCGGATGCAGTTGCACTTGCACTGTCAGTTGCAGTGTCAGACATTGCTGGTGTTGTTGGCCGCTGCTGCCGCCGCCGCCCCGGTGATGCAGCGATTCTCTTCGCCTCTCGCTGTTGTTGTTGTTGTTGTTGTTGTTGTTGTTGTTGTTGTTGTTGTTGTTGTTGTTGTTGTTGTTGTTGTTGTTGTTGCCTCCTCCTGCGCGGGGAGCGTCGTGTTGGCGTGCTCTCTGGCGAAGGCTGTTCACGTGTTGCGACCGGGTCCTTTTCACGCGCCACCCCTGCGTGCCTTTCCGTCTGTGGCTGCTGCTGCTGTTGTGGTAACGCTGCGCGCGTGTCGGCCTGGTTGTGTTGTTTCAGCGCATCCAGTCGCCCTGAAGCTGTCGCCATCGTCTGCCGTGCTTTGCTCTCTTCACCAGTATCACTCCTCCCCAC